GCGTGCATCGTTGAGCAGAAGGGAGAGAGTTGCTGTAGGCGTAGCTGCATTTTAGTTGGTGCTGCGGGTAGATGAGAGCGCTCTGCTTATGGGGACATTATGCTTTATGAGATGTGATGGAGTCTAGTCATGTATAATATATATCTAACGGTGGAGCTTTTAAAACGACCCCACTAGTAGTATAAGGAAGAAGACTATAATCCATTTAGATTGAGTTAGAGCGAGATCCATGTAAAGTAGTTAAGAAGAGCGAGGGCCGTTATGTGCATGCCTGTTAGTAGTGAGTATGGATACCGTATGTTTGGTTAGATAGGTAGTCACCATGGCTAGGGTAACCCCTACGCATAGACATGTGTGTGGTAACCCTCAGTAGATAAGGAGTACAGAAATCTCTAATAGAGTTGTAGGATGTAGCGTGGTAGGAAGTAGCGTTGATCCGCGTGCGTGCCTGTAGATGGCGTTACCGTGCGCGCGTGCGTAGCCGGGGCGTAGCGAGGGAGGTAGGGGAGGGGAGGGGTGACAACTAGGCGTAGTTGTAAGCGCACACTTACTGCATCCTCACACACTGCTTACATAGATAGAGCGCATGCGAGAGCGTCGGTGGTGGCGGGCGTAGTACCAGCACCCGCACTATCCCTCGTTTGCCGCCAGAAAACTCCGCTCGTGCTGGAACCCGCTCGCCAGCAGACGAGCGAGGGAGGGGTCGTCATGACGACCTACTGCTCCGCGGAGCGTCCGCGTTTGGCGACGGCAAACGAGGAGTAGATGGTGTCCTCGGTTTTCGGTTGGTTGCTTCGGTGAGGGCGCGGACTTTAGCTAGCCGCCCTGTCCTTTCTACTAACACGACGATGGCGCGCATGCATGCGGAGTCGTCAGCGCCCCCTAGCGGGAACCACGTTGCAGTGTTGTCCCCCAGGTGGCACTGTGATCGATGTTTGTCTAGCAGACGACCCGCGGGGTTGCCGTGGCGACGAACCTCTGCATGCATGCGCTGCTCGAATTGTTGGGTGACGGAATTTGTCGTGTTTGACTGTTGTTTCTACGAGCGTAACCACCACGGTGGCGCCCCCTGCTGCCGCGTGCTGGCGGTTAAGGGGCGTGGCACTGATACCCAGACACGGAACGGACATTTAGAAGGCCAGCAAGCTCTGCAGGTCTCATTCAGATGGTTGTCAGGCCTACTAGTGTATCGATTATTGTTCTCGTTGATTTAATTAATCATAATGATTTATTAGTATATCATTTTTGGTATTTTTTAATCATTTTTTAAAAATTAATAATTAAAAAAAATATTAAAATTAATTGCGTGTATATGTGTATTGTATGGTGTACAAACAACAACGGTAACAGACGAGCAAACTAACTTACTTGTGAAAGAGAGACACCTGGTGGTCATGCGTATAACTGCGCGCACAGCGTGGTGGTTGGAGTCTTACGCGTGGGCTCGTTAGTCATGCTTCGTTACAGTTTGCTCCGGAAACTGCTTCCCTTTATCGCAGTCACTCGAAACACGTACTTGTTGTGTTAGCATGCATACATACATGCATACGTGCTTGTGCATGTGTGCGTGCGCGTACTTTCTGTGTGTACATGCATACATACATGCATACGTGCTTGTGCATGTGTGCGTGCGCGTACTTTCTGTGTGTGCAAGCGTAGGTGTGCAGGCGTACGTGTGTGTCTTTTAGCTGTGTGCTTATATGTATTGCCTTACCGACTTTCAGCTTATGTGGACGTACAGACCGAAAGAGCAGAAGAAGAACGGGGTAGGAAGGGCGTTGCTCGCCCGTGCGCCTCCTCTTGTCTCCTCTCTCTCTGTCTCTTTCTCTCACCCACTCTCGTTTATCCGTGTACTGGTGGTTGGTAACACCCTCACGTACCCCGATGCCATTCAAATTTTGTATCGCAAACTACAAGTAATTTTTGGTTTGCCCCTGTGGCGAGGTAGACGTTATGAAGACTTAAGATTACTGGCTAAAGTGAAGTCCTTACTTAGGGGTGAAGGGCTTGTTTTCTAATGATGACATTTGATCGTTATGATATTGATAATGAGGGTTGTGTTGTTGTAATGGGAGAATTTGATTGTCAATCGTAAACTAGTGCCCTCTGCTGGAGTAGAACGATACTAATTTTAGCCATCGTAACTCATGATCGATGATATAATTAAAATTCAATATAATATAAATATTGCATTTTAATTTTGAACGTACTCGAATATGTATAGAATGAATATAGAGTTTATATTATATATCATTATAAATGGTGACAGTAGTAATGCAGTAGAGCATGTAAGAAGGACAGATGGCATTGGGGTACCAAACGGGAGTCAACCTTGAACAGAAAAAAAACACATCTAATTGCAAACAAACATCTTTGACCCTTTTTTAAAACGGTGGTTAGGGTTTTTGTGTTTGTGTCGTACCCGTTTTAACGTGTTGTCGTGCAAACGTGAGGTGGGGGTCCGCTCAAATTGTCTCTGTTTTCCTCGTTAATCAACATTTAACGAGCGAAGCTGCATCAGCGTGGGTCTCACGCACTTGCCCTGCTGCGTCGTCATCTAATTATCTAAGGTGCAGGTAGCAGCCACTAGAGGGAGACACCAGCAATCGCTATGTATCAGTTTGGCTAAGTGGGCATTTAGGGACTGGCGTCGGTCTAAGGTGGACCACCGACTGTGGTTTACCTGGCTAATGTGCTGGTGGCCGTAGTTACGTTAGCGATGGATTGCTTATGTGCGTGGACGGGGGGGTGAGCGAGGACGTGTGGACATACTACACGGATGAGCTATCTGTGTGTTAGATTGCCATCACGGCCTCCCGCTACACACCGCTGACTTCAGAGCCACAACTATATATCTATCGCTTGGCTTCTAGTAGAGGTAGCAGAGTAGGAGCTTCAATAGGTACCATAGACCATAGATCATAGACAATAGACCATGTGTGTGTATGTGTGTGTGAGTGCATGCGTGCGTGCGTGTGTGCGTGCGTGCGTGCGTGCGTGCGTGCGTGCGTGCGTGCGTGCGTGCGTGCGTGCGTGTGTGCAGAAGGGAGAGAGTTTGCTGTAGGGCGTAGCTGCATTAGTTGGTGCTGTGGGTAGATGTAGAGGCCTCTGCTTGTGGCATTAGGTGAGGGAGTTAGCATGTAGTATATATATATTATATAGGGAGGCTTACTAGTAGTATTAGGAGACGATATTTCCATTTAGTGTTAGAGCAGTCTGTAGTATTAAGAAGAGCGAGGGGTGTTATGTGCCTGTAGTAGTGAGGTTGGATATGTTGTTGGTTAGATAGGTAGTCACCATGGCTAGGGGAACCCCTACGCATAAACATGTGTGAAGAAGAGGCCTGGACTGCCTCTACGGGGCACAGCTCCACTGTGCACTGTGTAACCCTACACATACATGTGTGTGGTAACCCTCAGTAGATCAGGAGTACAGTAATCTCTAATAGAATTGTAGGATGTAGCGTTGTAGGAAGTAGCGTTGATCCGCGTGCGTGCCTGTAGATGGCGTTACCGTGCGCGCGTGCGTAGCCGGGGCGTAGCGAGGGAGGTAGGGGAGGGGAGGGGTGACAACTAGGCGTAGTTGTAAGCGCACACTTACTGCATCCTCACACACTGCTTACATAGATAGAGCGCATGCGAGAGCGTCGGTGGTGGCGGGCGTAGTACCAGCACCCGCACTATCCCTCGTTTGCCGCCAGAAAACTCCGCTCGTGCTGGAACCCGCTCGCCAGCAGACGAGCGAGGGAGGGGTCGTCATGACGACCT